GAGCGGGAGAAGGAAGCCGCTTTCCCAGCGCTGTCTTCGGGGCGAAGCGGCGGGGCGGGGGCCGGGGTTGCTGCGGCGCTGCTGCTGGGTTAGGAGTCGAGAGAGGCTATTTCTTTTATCCAGCCCCGTTGTGAACACTGGAGAACTCGTGTGAAAAGTCACGACTCTGTGTCAGTAAATCAGGACAGAAGGGACGGAGGGGGGAGCTCACTTTTTAAAAACAAGAGGGGTGAGAGAAACGAGAAGGGGAAATGGGTGCCACCGGCTAGAGAAAGCGGGTTCACTCGAAAACGAGCCCCGGGGCTTTCCACAGCACCCTCGCAGGAAAGGCGACATTCCCCCACCCTTTAAGCTCAAAGGACAACCAACTTTTGCACGGCTGTAGCCGCTAGAAAAAGTACACGGGATCACAGTAGCTGCTGTGGCCGCCTTGGTATCACACACGCGAACGCGTTTCCCGCTGAGCCTTTTCCCGCCTGGCGTGGCTCCACGTCTGTATACCTGCTTGTAGATGGACAAGAACCAGCCTTTCGCATGTGTGACTGACCCTTTTGTGAGGGGTTGGATACACATAATAGTCATCACATAATGCTGCCCAGATTCAAGTGAGCCTCAAGCAAAGGTTTGGTGAACCGCAAGGACAAATTAGGCAAAGAACCAAAGGATGCCTGGATACACACAAGAAGCTAGTCTAGATTGGGGTTGGTCCAGTGCGTTGTGAACATCTCACTATAATCTTAGCATGTTGTGTGAACTAGTCTATCAAGTTAAACTATATTCTGGTGTACTGGTTTGGGCATGGCATGTGATACGATAGCACAATTGTGTTTTGCTAACTTGGATGTATAGTTGTTATGTTCTATGTGTGTTATGTATGTGAGCATGAAGAGGTGGGCACGGGAAGACCCAGTTGAAGCGTATCCGAACTATTGCCTGACTTTGAGCCAATGGCTCTCAGTCCAGCCTACCTCACAGGGTTGTTGTTCTGGGGATAAAATGGAAATCCTCACGTAAGATCCTTTAAGCTCTTGAAGAAAATGTGGGATCTGATTCTAAATAGGAATATATGCTATTTCATTAATCTGCTTTTTCAAATGTATTTTCCTACACTGTCTGTAACATGGATGAAATGGGAAAAGAAAACCCCAAGATAAAAAGGAAACCTATCTTTATTACTGCCAAAATGGATTTGGCTAAAACACACCCACAGTCCCTGTTTCTTCTGGAACCAAATAGAAAGCTTTTTATCATCATCTCCTTTCTTGCAGCTTCCACCCAATTTCCTTTTTCCTTTTTCCCTTCCAACAAACCAATGTAAGATTAACAAGGGACAGACCCTTTGAGAAAAACTAAAGCTTGAGGAGAGTAATAACCCAAAGCAGGATTTGCCTTTATATGGAGTGTCTCTTTCCGTTGTTCTTTCCAGTTCTCAGATGATGGGAGCAGCTTTGTTTTTGATATCCCAATATGGAGAAAGTGCCACTTTTGAATATGCAGACACTTATTTTCAGCAGCTCATGTGACTATATGGAAGGAAATGAGATGATGGAAGATATTCTAGAAAGCAGCTAATACCTTTTCCCCAATTTGGTGCCCTCCAGATGAATTGGTCGTGGAGAATTTCTACCCAGCACTCTTTGGCTGGCTGGAAGTTGTGGCTCTTGCTATTCCAGTATATCTGGAGGGAAATAATGCATATCTCACTAACAAATGGCAATCACATAGGGGAAGCAGGAATGGGAAACTTGTTTTTGTATGATCACATTGTGTTACAATCCCATCAATTAGGTTTATCATCTCCCATCTGCACCCATATCAGTTTTCCCTTAAGATCATTAAACAGAAATGTTCTGCCTTAATGAAGGAATGGGCTTTATTTGGCAGAGTTGTCTTAACTGTAGAATTATTTATCCCAAAAGGCCTGCCTGGTGTCAGCTGTATGGTCTTTTAGGAATTAGGCAAATATTTTCTTCTTCAACCAGATATTTAAAAACATAATTTAAATCATTTAATATTTTAAACTTTGGAAACATCTTAACCCTTAAACTTCTTAAAAATAGTTTTCCCTTAAAATAATTAACAAAATTAGTATACATTCTTTGCATTGACTTTAAACTACAATTCTATGTATACAGTAATTAGTGGGGTATAATTCCTATTATATTCAACAGGACTTATTTTTGAGTACACATAAGACTGCAGTTGGTATTGTTGTTCAGTCATTCTGTGACTTTGTACTGTTTGTAACCTGATGAACATCATTTTCTGTCAGTAACTATTCCTTTGTGTTTTTGTGAGCTCATGTTTATGTCATCAGTGATATGTAGCCATCTCGTTCTCTGTCGACCTCTTTTTCTACAGCCTTCAATTTTCCAAGCGTTGGGCCTTCTCCAATGATTCCTGCCTTTGCATTATATATCCAAAATATTTAAATTTGTACCACCATTATAAAATGTTCTTCATAAGCAGTCCAGATTTCCTTCATCTAGTACTGAATGAGTTGATCTTCTTGTGATTCATGGAGGTATTCTCCAGCACAATTCAAAGCCATCAATTTTTCTTCATTCAACTTTTTGATGGTCCGCTTTTCTCAACTGTGTGTTATAGCTGGAAAAAAACATGGCCTTGACAATCTTTAGTGTTGTTATCAGAGTAATGTCTCTGCATTTCAACAGTTTGTCTGGATCCATCATCGTTTTTTCCTCAAGAAGCAGCTGTCTCTTTATTTAATGTCTACAGTCACCATCCCTGTGAATGTTTGAGCCCACTACTTTTCTGCCTATCAGCTTTTGCACTTTTACCTCCAACAAGAGATTTCTTAAACCTTCCTTGCTTCCAGCTATCAAAGTGATAGCACAGCATACTTGAAATTATACACGTTTCTCACAGCAATTTTAATTCTAGTTTTTATTTCTTGTAGTCCAGCATGTCTCATTATATAGTCTGCATATAAATTAAATAAATGAACTGATAGTATAAAATCTTGGCACGCTCCTTTCCCTATTTGGAAAGATTTAGTTACTTCATATTGCACTGTAGCAGTTGCATCCTGGTCATCACACAAATTCCTCAGTGGCAAGTTGAGGTTCCTTACTGTACACCCATTTTTTAAAGGCTTTCCACAATTTGTTATACTCTATGCAGGCAAAAGCCTTTTTATGTTCAGTAAAGCAAAAATAAGATATCTTCTGGAATTCTTTTGCCTTTTCTATTATCCATCGGATGTTAGCAATGTGATCTCATCTGAATCCAGCCTATACATTTGGAGTTCTTGTTTCATGCATTGTTGAACTCTGGATTGCAAAATCTTGAGCATTATTTTACTAGCACATGCGATAAATGCAATTGCTTGGTAGTTTGAGCATCCTTTAGCAATGCCTTTTTTGTGTTTGGAATATAAATTCCAAATCTCTTAGCACCACTGTCCTTTCCATACCTACTATATTTATGAATTGCATGTAGCACTTGAACTGCATGATCTTCTAAATTTTTAAACAGTTCTGCTAGTATTTCATCCTCTCCTGCAGGTTTATCATTAACAATATTTTCTAGGGCCAATCTGACTTCACTTTCCAGTTCTAGGCTCTTTCTAGTTCAGTGATCAGATCTTCATGCTTATTGTCAGCTTGGGGTTTGTTTGTTTTGGTACAATTCTGTATATTCACACCATCTCTTCTTTATATCTTTTTCCACTAGATCTTTCCTTTTTTGTCTTTTATCATGCCCATCTTTGCTTAAAGGGTACCCTCAATTTCTGTATTTTTTAAAATAAATTTCTTGTCCAATAAATCCTTTCCATTTGTTATTCTCACATTCTTTGCATCGCTTATTGTGATATAATTATTTGTTCTTTCTCTTCTCTAGATCCCAGTGTTTTATTGGACAATTTCCATCTATCTGTTTCTTCAAGGAATTGCAGTATATGAGCAGATAGCGATTTCACCTTCTTTTGCATTTCATTTTTTTTGCTTCATCATCATTTAATTTTGTACATTAAAGCCAAATATTCCTATTATTATTTTTTCACTATTTTACTTCCAACATTAGCATTCCAGCCTCCTATAATTAGTATGATGTCTTTTTTAGTGCTATAAGCTGTTTCACATGTATCCTGCGTCTGCATAACCAACTTGCCTTCCCCTCCATTCTCCCCTGCCTCATCCCAATTTAAATCCTACATCAGTTTAATCATTCCATGCAGCTTATGAAAGCTTATGCCTTTTAATGTAATTGTTAATCAGAAAAGGTGCTACCAGACTCCTCCTGATTTTTATCCCTCATGGATCTTGTTCCTCTGATATAATGTGACCAGTTCTAGTCCATTTCAGTTCAGTGATTCCCAGAATTTCAATGTTCAGTCTTGACCTCTCTGCTCCAACAAAATCATTTGCCTTGGTTCATGGTTTTGAGATTCCCCATACCAATAATATACATGTCTTTGCAGCAATGAATTTTCCTTTTGTCTCTGGCCACATCAACAGCTGGATGTCCTTCCAGTTTTAATCCAGCCCCAAAAGTGCCTGAGCTAGTGCTACTTAATTTGCCCTCTGCTCTTCTCTAGTAATTCATTGGTTATCATCTTCCAGGATCACATTGATGTTATTCTAGTTGTGAATGCCATTTGGTTTT